ATTCGAGTTTCAAACTGATCTGATAGACACCTTGAGCATGATACCGTCTGCTTGAAAATCGGAGACGTGGGCATGGAGGTCTTTCCCTTCGTTCATAGCACGCTGTGTCCGATTATTTTTGTGACAATCCACTGTCTGTGGATGAATGAAACATGCTACCGTAACGGCAGCTTCCAGTGACCCGATACTCGCCGACTGAAGGGCATATAGCATCGGTTCTTCAGATTCTTGTCTGTACTTTAAACAACTTCGATATCCGAGGCCGACTTTTCGTTGATGTTTCGTTCTTTATGTTTCATCCTTATCATCACGCTAGTGAGTTGGTTGAAACCTCACTCTGATTCAACACCGGTACGGTTGCCTAGAACTTCAAGCTTCAACTTCTTGGCCCTGTTCAAAGCTAGCTCAACTCAATGCTGACTTTGATTCCATTCCGATTGCCATGAATCGGGCTAAACGCGAATCGAAAGCGATTGTGCTCAACCATCTAGCTCGATGCCCACACTCCATCGAACATGTTGAATCCATGATAGATACATGAGTCAGGATTGATTTGTGCGCATATCCCGAGGGACGAGACTAAAGCAAAGTGGTCGGGGCGAGCAGCCGGGCTGTGAATGACCATAGCACTGATGATGGTCACAGAAGCTCATCCTCCCCGATCTATCCAAAGAGCTGAACCTCCGAAGATTGCATGCCTCCTTCAGAGTGAGGCGCATGGTATTACCAAGCAGCAGAAACCTCGTTGAGGTGGCATCCAAGAAACCTTTATTGGGGGTAACTGGAGTCACTGGTTCATTCGCCGTGCGTGCAGCTTTTCAATTTCTGGTGTTCGTCTTCGATGGCCACCGGGTTGTGCACCCAATGCTCGTGAATAATAGTGGATGCCTGCTGAGCGAAGACTCTTTGTGCAAGTTTCAAAACCAAGGACACAATTCCCGCGGTATCCTCAGAGGTCGACGTTGAAGAGCAGCCTCGGCTGAAACTGCACCATTGGGATCACAAACATCTCGGATAAATCCGAGGACATCGCCGATGCCTTTTGGATTGAGTCGTACCAGAAGGTTTCATGCTGGTAGGTTGGTCTTGTAGTGGTAGGGGCTCGGTGGATTACTGGAGCCTCGTGGTAATCATACGAGGTGCATTATTCCAAGGCAAGCTATAGAGACAACCTGCCAGAGCCACTTTCTTGAAGCAGAGTTTCCAGGCTTCGAACTTATCTGCCATGAGTACTTGTGCTCTGACAACGCGTCAGAAATTCCTTTTCCGATGGCTAGGAAGCCGATAGGACTGAAAGCTTACCAAGGATTGAGCTCGTTGAGAAGTTCCTGGAAGAGACTGAACATGTGCCAGCGATCTTGATCGAGTTCGACGCGAAGGGTATGATATGAACCACCCATGAGCTGATGCAATTGGGGAAGATGCCGTATCAAACAACGAGGGATATCAGCAATTGTCAAAATTATCGATCATAGTAAGTGGATGAATGGTGCAATAACGGTTCCAGACGCGGTCGTAAGACTGACTAGCAGAAATGGTCAAGATTAACTCTCATTATCATATTGAGAGTAGTGGGGTGTAGAAGCGCTCACGCACAGTTCTCAAAATCAACCAAAGATAAGATGATGTTCATCCCTTGAGGTCAGACAGCAACCGGATTGTGTGCATGAAGGAAAGTGAGGATATGGGGCAGCAGTCGACTGAGGCCCCCCTCCACCGGCTTGATCCGCAGCTATGATTGCTGCAACGAGGAGCTTTCTGGCCGTGATGCCTCGAATTCTCGAAAATACTGCGATCGATCGAAAAGTTGAGCTAAGGATTTGACCATATAACGTGTCTTCGTGTCGGGCACGGGGCATAGTGTTAATGATTCAATGGCATGCGAGTGGGGATAATCAACAAAAGCATACTCGTGGGTGCGATAACGAAGATGAGGTAGTAAAGTGAAGTAAGACCAATGAAAGTCAGTGCCTGGACGATGATGTAGATCGAAACTTCCAGGATGCGGTACAGCCCTGAGTTGATTCCAGGGAAGATACTGCGAATCAGCCGAAGCACAAAGAGTTCGAACACGGCAAACAGAAGAACAAGCGCATTGTAATAAATGAGAGAGAACAGAAGTGATGAAGCGAAGGGGAATGACTCGAGGGGGGTGCCAGAGGTGATAAATTCTAAGACACTGCTGTTGGAAGACTGTTGAGGGTGTATGGAATAGAGCATGATGAGCAATGTGGGGGTGGTGAGTGAGAGAGTGATGGTCGTCATAGAATAGATAGAAGGAAGATTCCGACTTGCGTAGTTGACAGAGCCTTCGTGAGCAGGAAGCGTTATATACAAGAGAAAGAGAGGTAGTCACGGAAAAAAAGAGAGGACATTGGCAGCGGACGACAAGCGATACTTATGCCGCTTTGCTCTGTAGAGAAGTTCAGCTGGTAGCGGAATGCAAGAGACAAGGTTGACGACTTTCCTGGACAGATGGAGTCGTTTGTTTGCCGTTCGGGTTCCTGTGTAGCCGAGGGAGGTGGATAGCAAACGGATGTGCGTTTGCTCATCCTGGATGGAAGAGCAGAAACAGAAACAAAATGTCTTCCGGTCAACGGCAGCAGATAGAACACCGCAGTCTCAAATGCAATTGCCTGGCTTCAAAAGGACCACGACCCATCCATGTAGGTTTCAGGACAGAGGACATTGAACAAAATTAAATTGGTAATAGTAAAATGCATATGCTATTCTCAAAGATTGATCGGGTATCCCAGATGGAGACTGTAATAGTCTCAAAAAGCCCCCGTAAAGACACAACAAACGGTATCAAGAGGAAGACAGGAATCTAAACAAATCGTGACATCAAATATGGTACAGGACATGGCAGTTAAATGATTATGTTAGTTGGTATCAATGTGGCGCCCACCGATCGGGCAGTTTTAGGTGACGGTGGCCTTGCTCGGGTAAAACCTAGCATTGCAAGTCAGTATAGCTCCAGAATATGAACGACGAGGGTTCTTCTTACCAAGCAGCCACAGCGATAATCAAGTACATCATCATCAGTAAGACGCCCTCGAGCCAGTGCGACTTTCCATCAGCGATGAGATAGTTGACCTGCTGAGGTTAGTGCATGTCCACGGCGCAGGTGTTGAGGTACAAACCAGAAGAACAGCAACAAATAGTAGAATCACCTGGAAACCGTCAAAGTAAAGGGTCATGTCATCATTGCCTAAGCAGCTGTTAGCATTTTGTTTTGACTCTGCTCCTCAACAGCAAGACTGACCCATTCCCCACCCGATCACAATGATCAGGGGCAACACCAACAACGCGATCTGCATACTTGAGCCGACGGCCACACCGATTGCCAGGTCCATCTTATCCTTGCAAGCCACGGTGACAGCCGTCGCGTGCTCGGCCGCGTTACCTACAATCGGAAGAAGGATCAATCCCACAAAGGTCTCCGAAATATTGCCGGTCTGTGTGAGAGCATCGATGGAATCGACCTGATCAAATTAGGCGCTGTCAAAGCAAGATGAGGCAAAGGATCAAGCGTACCATGAACTCAGCACAAAGCGCAACAAAGACAGTCGAGATGACAAGCGTCAGCACGGCCACCCAGATGCTGAGCTGAGGCTGTTCCTCATCGTCTGGTTCCTGAAGTTCCACGTTCTGAGCATGCTCACCAGCCATCGAGGCCGTCATCTTGCCAATCTGAGCGATGCCCCGACTGGCGTCGCCTTCGTTGATTTTCTGGCGTCTTCTTTCCACCTTGGGGCTAGGGGCGTTGTAGATCTCTGTGTGCGACTTGAGCTGGAAGAACAGATAACATCCATATACAACCAGTAGAATAACACTGGTGCCGCGGGACAATTCCGCAATTCCAGTCTCTCCAGCATCTGACCACGCATGGAAAGCGGTAGGGATAATAAGACTGGCCACTGCCAACGCCAAAAGACTGGCCGCCGTTTGTGCAACCACGGGGTTGAAGTGTTGCTCCAGGCGGTCGATGCCACCGAAGAAAAAACACATACCCATGACCAAGAGCAGGTTGGACAGCATACTACCGATCAAGGACGTCTGCACAATCACGACTTCTCCGTCAACCAAGGCGATGATCGCGACAATCAGTTCTACCGCGTTACCGAATGTAGCATTCAGAAGACCACCGATGGTCTCACCAGTACGCATGGCGATCTCCTCGGTCGCATAACTTAGCATGGCGGCAAGGGGTATAATCGCGATGAAGTTGACCACGAAGACCGCCACCGGAGGGACGTCGACATAATTCAACGCGATCCCCACGGGCGCGGCGAAGAGTAGGACATTGATCCAGGAATTGAACAGCGTGGCTTTCAACTGTCCGACCGCAGTAAACTTCTGCTTGTCGGGCATAGACTTGCTGGAGTCGGCGGCCGTGCGATCCTCGTCAGCGCTGGATCGGAAAGTGTTGTTCAGAAACGTTCTTCGCTTTCGTGGTCGCGTCTCGTCGGGCTGATCGGCTTGCGGCACGTTAATGGGGTCATGGCTGTGCAGCGACCGCTCGGTGTCAGCCTTCTCGGCGCTGTCGATGCGATTCAACTGATCGGTACCGGCAGACTGGGGTGGGAAGGTGTCCGCATGCTCTGGACCGGCCAGGCCTTGGGTCATATCTCTCCGACGTCGGCGCTCCTCGGAGAGTCGCAAACCACCTTCTGAGACCACAGGAGTGAGTCGGTTCTCCAGTTGAATGGAGTTGGTCCGCCGCGGTCCCGCTCGGAACTTCTTGAAGGGATTATGTGTCGAAGGTTCGCCTTCATTGTCATACCAGGCCAGCTTTCTGGCTTGTCGTCGATATATATCTGATACCGGGAGCACGGTCAGCAAATGGCCCCATCACACGAAAAGGGGTAGGCTCACGCATGATTACGGTGGAAGCGGATGTTTGTGTTCAGAACAGAGATGATGGCTCTTGAGGAAGGGCTTCTTATACTACATAGATATTAGGCGACAGGCGATAAAGTAGTAGATCTTTGAGGCAATGGCGATCCAACAAGCTTCGATGCGCAGCACGCCGAGGCTTGTCAGGCGACCCAACAGAATGGTACCAGCTGTCATTGCAGCAATGATCCAATGGGGACGAAGCCGTTCAGGCACTTACAGATTGACGTGGAGTCTGAAGCAAGCAGAGAGGGTGCGATGAAGCCTTTAGAAGTGTGGCTGAAGCAGTGGAGAGTTGGGCAACACAGCCGCCTCGGTGAAGCCACAGGGGAGCAGATGAAGGCAGTGAAAACCCGACCTGCTATGGAAACAGACTGCGAGGAGAACGAAAAAGAGGGAAAGGTGCTCTAATCAGACCACCAAGGAGGATAATAAAAAAGAAAAACCAGACTACCCAAGCGAGGGGGAAAAGAGGGAGATCTGAAGGGTTGAATGTCTGCAACAAATGACCCAGTAATGACAACAACGCGAGACAGACAAGGAAACGAGTGACAGCAGCAAGGGAGTGAAAATCCACTTGAAAAGGGATCAATAGTGATGAAGGAAGATTAAGTTTTGGTGGATGACCACAATCACACTGCATTATTGGACCCGAGCTGCAGTAATTTGAGAACACAGCCACAATCTAAAGCGCCAGCAATCTCCACGGCATAATCATCGTCGTGGTGTTTCCACGGGTGAGTTGCACAGATAGCCGCCTTGGCCATTCTTGTGATTCTTAATATTCCGCCATTTATTCTCTTCTGTTGACATTTGTTATTGAAAGAGAACGGGCTGGTAGAACCGTCAAGGTAACAACCATGGTTGTGAGGATATTCCCGGTCGGGTGGTCTCCGACAAATACCATTCAGGCACTTCAATCCGTTGGACACTGGATAGACCAGATACAACAGGACACACAACACGATGCGGATGCGGCCAGCGACGTAATCACTTCTGCCAAGACCTCCGATTGTCTTCGACTAGCAGCAGAACCAATGTGCGCATAACTCTTGGCCGCCACCAAAAGAGGACTTTGCCCCCCCCCCCCCCTTTGCCTATCATACTAATCGCTTCCAGTTTTTGCGGTACACACACACTCTCAGGTTGGACTGCGGGCAACCACAGAGAAAGTTTGGGCAGCAGCAGCAGACGGGATGATGCACGAGGCGTCAATCGGATGTTTTGAGAGGTTGCAACAGCTTCATGCTTGAGTGCATCTGTGCACTTCATTCAATCCATGATTAGTCTCTCGGTGCTGGCGTCATTTCATCATTCAACAAAGTTCAAACATTTCCGGCCCCTGGCGTGTTTCAACCGAATATTGGTGGGACGGACCCAGGATTGCTTCTTTACCGCTTATCTAATCTCACGTGATATCACACAACCACATGTGGCTGGTGAGAGGCTGCGCCTGTGCCACATGTGTATAAGCCACACAGTCATCAGACATATCAGCCACATCAGCCACACCGCGCTCTTTCTCCCTCCCTCTCCCTCCCTCTCTCTCTCTCTCTCTCTCTCTCTCTGCGTTGGCAGGCAGAGCGTCAGCGGTGTTGACCCATATCTGGGACAATGAAAACTGCATGCATCCTAGCACCGTCTGCACCAAAAAAAAAAGAGTCGGTTAGTTGTAATTCCTCCGCAAAATCTCGAGACCATGCTCTACTGGTGTCAAGCCTGCAGATTTGTGTCACTATTTAATCGGATCGAGCGCCCGCAGAAATCTTTCTTTCCGCAATGCCCCAAAGATGGACTATTACGCAGGCGGCGTCGATTTTATAAACTTCTCGATGAGCGCTGCTCCTCGCCGCGGTGCGCAGGCCGTAACACCTTTGGATTTCATGTCCACGAGGGTTGGCTGTAATGCCGGAGAATGACCTTTTGACCTCCTTGCATTGATGTCTGTGCTGTCGCGCCTGCATCTAAGCGATGAGGTCATCCTGAAATCGGAATTGATGCTTGTAGACAACAGTTGGATCCAGAAAAGGGGCGCGGGCAAAAGGAGAAAACGCGACCTCCCGACAACAAACAAACAGAACGGGGAACTCAAGTGATTGGACTAGTGATGCTACTAGGATGTCGCTCCTGGATGATCCCAAAGCTTGTTCCTCTGTTCAGCCGATTATCCCTCGGAGTAAGTATCTGGCCTCCTCCTGCACCGAGATTCGTAGTTAGTGAAAGGACGGACTACACCGTATTGCACAGCATCAAGCATCCAGCAGTTAGCCAGTCAGCCGGATCGGTCGGATTCAGTCATCGTTGAACATCCGGAGATATATGTTTTCCTGCTGATCAGTCGGTACATGCATGAAGAGAACAGACAATGAGCGACAACGACGGAGTATTGTTTAAGCCTTGATCCACTCGAACAAGCCTTTTGCCCATCTATATTTGAGACACGCTTGTGAATGAGGGCATTTGCCGCAATGAATTTATTTTCAGATGGGAAGAGGGTGTATTCGATACGGGGTGATACCTGGTCTTACTTTGTCTTACCTGGGGGCACCAGAGGCAACGTAAGCTCAGGGCCCTTTGAACCCTGAGACCCTGCGGCAGGGTCTGAGGGGTCTGCCTTACAATTTACCATACGAGACACGGTATGGTCACGATACAAGGAGGAGATTGCCCAATTTGCCCCTTCGACAGGCCCGCTTCTTCCTACTGTTTCGGATGGCGGACTGGAGCGACCAACAAATCTGAATCACCTTGGCCCCCCATCGAGTGTCTCGACTGAGCCGTGGGCGTGCATCTCAATAAGCCACCGACCCACCTACCACCTGGTGAATGGCCAGGTCCCAGACTGATTGGCCCCTCGGCAGCACCGGGATGGCATGCTGATTTGTCGAGGGCAGAGCGGATCAGGAACAAGGCACTCTTCCATTCTTCATTGAAACGGTAAGAACCGTGTAATGACCGTCCTTACCATACCCACGGTCAGGGTCTTGGGCCAATCAGCCATCAGGGTCCTGGGGCAAGTGGGTCGTTTGCTTGGGGTCTCAACCCTGAATTTGACCCCTGGCTTATGGTAAGAGCGAGGTATTCGCCCTCTTGGAACCGCCCCGATTACAGCCAAGTACTAATTAGGTCTTGCCATCACAATAATGGATTGTAACCGAACCCGCCGTTTTGTGCCACGATGAACAATTTGGATGTGGGATGTGGGATGTGGTGGATAGAATCGAGGTCGAAGACATTGAATGAAGAGAGATGCCTGTCCTCATGTCATCAATTGCGGATACAAGAGCAAGACAAACAGTGGATGCACCACAACAACATCATCGTCAATGGCCGTAAGATACTCACCTGTAATCGTCCAATCAGTGTTGCCTGCGATCCCCTGAGTTCCCATCAGTGTTAGCACTCAGTAGTACCAGTAGTTGTGCTATTTTTACAGGCGTCGTAATCTGGTTCCTCTTGGATGGACCGACCATCATTCTACTCCGTCACAGTTAGTAGTCTAGGCAGGGGCCAAACTGGACTCCCATTCTTATCTTCCGCCTTCCCCCAGCCATCGCCCTTTCTCTCCTTCTCTCTTTCTGCTTCCTTGTTTTCTCTTTTCCTTTCCAACCCCCCTCCCCCCCCCCCCAATCAACCCCAATAACATCATCCCACTTCAACGGCAGTGTGTGCGCCGTTAGTCACTCGTTCTTTCCTTTTAGACTTTTGTTTCTGCCCGGTGCGGTTCAATCTTCTTTGCTCTCACTCCATTCAGATTCAAGACTCTCGTTCATAACTCCTTCCGCGGTTGACCATGAAGTACAACTCTCTTGCCCTGGCTGGGGCTTCCATGCTCCTGGGCCGTGCCATTGCTGCCGACTTGCCTGAGATTGCCATCAAGGTATGTGCACGAGGGAGACCGGAAACATGAGTGACATAGGCGTTGACGGTTCGATTGGTGTAGGGCAACAAGTTCTTCTATTCTAACAACGGAACCCAATTGTGAGTCTTCCTGCCAATTTACATTAAAATCGGCCGTGGTTAACCATCAATTCTAGTTACATGCGTGGTGTCGCCTATCAGCGTACGTCAATAGATCGTTGTGTCGAATCCTGACGAGGAGCGAATCTAACCGGTTTACAGAGGACTACACGGCCAATGGCACTTCCTCGGACAACAACGACTACATTGACCCCTTGGCCGATGCCACCTCCTGCAAGCGGGACATTCCCTACCTGCAGCAGCTCCGCACCAACGTGATCCGTACCTACGCCGTCGACCCCACCCAGAACCACGACGAGTGTATGACCGCTCTGGCCGACGCCGGCATCTACCTGATCACGGATCTGTCGTCTCCTTCCGAGTCCATCAACCGCAATGACCCCCAGTGGAACACTGCCTTGTACGATCGCTACACCAGTGTCATCGATGCCTTTGCCAACTACACCAACGTCATCGGTTTCTTTGCCGGTAACGAGGTCACCAACGACAACAACAACACCGATGCGGCTGCTTACGTCAAGGCTGCTGTCCGCGACATGAAGAAGTACATCAAGGCCAAGAACTACCGCACCACCCTTGGTATCGGTTACGCCACCGACGACGATGCCACTATCCGTGACGACCTCAAGGACTACCTTGTCTGCGGTGACTCCGAGGACATGATCGACTTCTTCGGTTACAACATCTACGAGTGGTGCGGTGACTCCTCCTTCAAGACCTCTGGATACCAGGCTCGTACCGAGGAGTTCAAGGACTACCCCGTTCCTGCTTTCTTCTCCGAGTACGGCTGCAACGACCCCTCTCCTCGTACCTTCACCGATGTCCCCGTTCTGTTCGGTAGCGACATGGATGACGTCTGGAGCGGCGGTATTGTCTACATGTACTTCCAGGAGGCCAACGACTATGGTCTGGTCTCGGTTTCGGGCAACAGCGTCAGCACCCTCAAGGATTTCTCCTACCTTTCGTCCCAGATGCAGAAGGCCACCCCTACCGGTGTGAACAGCAACAGCTGGTCCGCCTCCAACACCGCCACCAGCTCTTGCCCCACCGTTGCCTCGGCCTGGGAGGCCAGCAGCTCTCTGCCCCCTAGCCCCAACGACGCCCTGTGCGACTGCATGGAGGAGTCGCTGAGCTGTGTTGTCAAGGACTCTGTCTCTTCTTCCAAGTACGGTGATCTCTTCGACTACATCTGCGCTTTGAACGACGGCAAATACTGTGCCGGTCAGGCCAGCAACTCGACCAGCGGAACCTACGGAGCCTACAGCGTCTGCTCCACCAAGCAGCAGCTCAACTTCGTCATGAACCAGTACTACAGCGCCCAGGGTGCCTCGGCCAGTGCCTGTGATTTCAGCGGCAAGGGTACCACCACCTCTTCCCAGTCTCCCACTGGTACCTGCTCTTCCCTGTTGAAGGAGGCTGGTACTGGCGGCACTGGCTCTGTGACCTCTTCCCCTACCGGTGGCTCTGCTGCCAGCGCCAGCTCCAGCTCCTCCGAGGGTGCTGCTGGTATGGGTGTCAGCCCCATGGCTGTCTCTGTTGGCAGCTGGCAGCTGGGCGCTTACGCCGTGACTGCTGTGGGTGCTGCCCTCGGCATGATCTTGCTGTAAGCGTGAGAGAGATGGAACGGTGACGGGGTGGAGGAAGCAGCCGGAAAATGATTATACCTGTAACCTTTACCGTTGGATTCTTAGCCGTACATAATTGGACCGATTCTGTATACGTTCGTTTTTAAGACTGAATTGATGTGTTCATGTTCGTTCTAAACCTCTCATGCCAACTCATGTGCTTTTAAGTGTAGATTGACCTGTAGATTGGTCTACCTGGATGAAACACTAGTTGAATCTCCGTCGTATGCGCTGTTAATCAACTTATCATCTGCTTGCGGCCTAACTGTGGGTTGAGGTGCATAAGTTATATCATGCAGCTGCAAGCCAACCGGCTCGGCGGGGCGATCCGAGGTCGGCGCGTGGGAGCGGAATCGCCGAGCGGTTCGATGGGTTCGATGGGTTCGATGGAGTCACTTCGGCCACACAGTCGGGATGCCGAGAGGAGAGGGGAGATATAAATGTCTGCATTCTCGGAGAAGCTGGTTCAAGTACATGTTTTTCAATTGCATAGAAAACTTTTAGAATAAAGACCATGCCGGCCATGGAAAAATTCTTGGGTGGTGATGACCTCGAAAGAGCAGCCGCCGCCGCCACCACCACCACCACCAGCACACCACTGCCGACCGAGCTTCCGTCCCCATCTTCATCCTCCTCCTCCTCCTCCTCCTCCTCCTCCTCATCAACACATACTCTCGACCCGAACACCGATACCCACCAACCACAGCAACAATGGACCTTCCGCTCGTTACTCACCCTACACTCCCCTCCCCAAAAGGGCTATGAACTCCCCTTCTGGCGTAAAGCCATCATCCTCTTCATCGTGAGCTGGATGACCCTCGCCGTGACCTTCTCGAGCACGAGCCTCCTCCCCGCGACCCCGGAGATCGCGGCCGAGTTCGCCACGACCACGGAGATCATCAATGTCACCAACGCGGGCGTGCTGCTGGCGATGGGCTTCTCGTCGTTGATCTGGGGCCCCATGAATGTGTTGATCGGGCGGCGCGTGGCATATCTGTTGGCCATCTCCGTGCTCTGTGGGTGTTCGGTGGGCGCGGCCGTTGCGGGCGATATGCGGGTGTTTACGGCGATGAGGGTCTTGGGCGGGTTGACTGGTACGGGGTTCATGGTGACGGGCCAGACCGTTTTGGCGGATTGTTGGGAGCCTGTAAGTTTTTTTCTTTGCTTGTGGTTTGGGAGGAGGGGGAGGGAGGGGGTTGGGTCTGTGAGTTCCGAAGTATATCCTGTACGGGTGGTGAGGATGTAGAAGATGATAGCCCACTTTCTTTCAGCCTCATGCTTATCACTCATGGTGTCATTCTCTATCGGTATATCGACTGACACCCTCCAGACGGTCCGAGGTACCGCAGTTGGTTTCTTCATGGCAGGCACAGTCGCCGGACCAGCTATCGGTGAGTATACACTCCCTGCTGTCTCTGTCCGCTCAACCCTCTCTAACGACAACAACAACCAGGCCCCTGCATCGGCGGCATCATCGTCACCTTTGCCAGCTGGCGCAACATCTACTGGGTGCAGGTCGCCATGACCGGCTTCGGCCTCGTGCTAGCCATCCTCTTCGTCCCGGAGCTGTCGTCGGTTGACGCCAACAAGTCTATCACACTGGATGAAAAAGCCCCCGCGCGCCGTTCCCCCTCCGAGCAACTCAAACACATCCTGCACGCCTTCAACCCGATGCGCGTGATCAAACTGTGGATCTACCCGAACATCTTCCTAGCTGTACGTCCTCCCCCCTTCCTCCCACAAACAATCCTAACCATCAAAAGGACCTAACCTGCGGCCTCCTCTCGACCTTCCAATACGCGATCCTCACCTCCGCCCGCTCCATCTTCAACCCGCGCTTCCACCTCTCCTCCGCGTTAGTCAGCGGCCTCTTCTACCTCGCCCCCGGCGCCGGGTTCCTGGTGGGCAGCATCGTCGGCGGCCGCCTCAGCGACCGCACGGTGAAGCGCTACATCGCGAAGCGCAACGGCACGCGCCTGCCGCAGGACCGGCTGCACAGCGGCCTGATCACGCTGCTGGGCGTGCTCCCCGCCGGCGCGCTGGTGTACGGCTGGACCCTCCAGGAGGGCCAAGGCGGCATGGCGGTGCCGATCATCGCGGCCTTCTTCGGCGGCTGCGGCCTCATGGGCAGCTTCAACGGGCTGAACACCTACGCGGCGGAGGCGCTGCCGCATCGCCGCTCCGAGGTCATCAGTGGCAAGTACATCATTCAGTATCTGTTCTCGGCGGGGAGCAGTGCCGCCGTGGATCCGGTTATCGGGGCCATTGGGGTCGGGTGGACGTTTACGATTTGTGAGTTTCTGCTTTGCTATCCCGCGGGTAATCATGGTGTTGTGGATGGGTTGCTGACTTTAGGGACGGTTTAGGTGTCTTCTTTTCGATCATCGGAGGTGTCTTGGTCATTCTGATTACGAGGTGGGGATTGGATATGCAGCGCTGGGTGCAGAGGCGGGTTGGGTCGGATCCGTGATTTTTGCGGGGGGTTGGGTGATGAACTTATGACTGATGATTATGATTTATTGGGTAATGTCTGGGTTCTGGAAATGGGCTTGACATAGAGAGAGGGTTGGGGGTGACCCTCCAGCAGCGTGAGGAGTGGTATACAGAATAATATAGGGAGAGATTTAGAGAATAAAATAGATCGTGATAGAGATCTTGTTCCGTCTTTATTATCATGTCAAAAAGTGGGTTGACTACTACTAGGGAGGGTTCCCTCCCATATGACAAGGACTGGTATGCTTATGATAGAATGTGCATTTAGAGTGAGTAAGATGTCGAAGCAGAGAGGGGGTGCTCCTCGAAGATCAACGTAACATAGAGAAGTATCAAAAGTTGGATTATTTTTCATAGATTTGGGTGAAAGATCGTAGAGTAACAGTCTGACTTGAACTGGATTACTTGGTCTAATCTGATAAGTGAACTGTTTAAACATGGTGGCTATGGTGGTTGACATAAGGCTGCACCCACATTAAGAGAAAGGCTTGTTTGATTTTATTTATTCTTGTTTGGCAGCGCGTTGGGCCGTAATGTGGCCACCGACTCGAAGGAAGCTCCTCAGGGTTTCTTCGGTCGGATTTCTTCCGCGTATGACCATATTATTAGATCTGCAGTATAATCCCCAGAAGCCTGCCATCTCGCATCGCCGCTTTTGGCGTCAACAGACAGGTTTAATGACTACTGGTCATCCCCTCATACCCGCCCTCATTCAGATACGTATCCACCTGCAGCATGCCCAGATCGAAATCACTCTGCGCCAGAAAGTCCTGCATCGTCGGTTCCATGAACGCCATCGCCGTCGTGAACCCCCCACTGCTGTCCCGCAGCTCCACGGGCAAGAACTCCTCGACCCCCGGTCCATCAACCGTCGTTGACACCACCGCATCCGCCACCCCGGGCCCGATCGCCGCCGCCGCCGCGTTCTGGCTGCGTCGGCGGTCGCTCAGATACCGGCCCAGACACTCGTTCACCACCTTGAGGTGCTGGTAGAACTCCGACGCCGCCAGGTTCCCGTTCTCGCTCATCGAGCGCAGCACCTCCAGCCCGGTCTCGAACGAGTTCATGTCGGCGGCGCTCCCCATGGGCGTGAAGCTGGACATGACGAGCACCAGGGCGGACGAGAACAGGTAGTGCGCGTGGAAGTAGCCGAACGTGGGCATGGACCCGTTAATCCAGCGCGTTAGGATGATGGAGTGCGTGTGGCGGGCGGCGTGGACGCATGCCTCCCCCAGCGTGAGCACGGGCTGCGAGATCTCCTCCGACTCGGGCTCGCTGAGCTTGATGAGAATGTGGAGGAGGGTGGGGCGCGTGGTGATGATGACACACTGAGTTTGTTGGTTAGCATGTAACCCCAAGGCACCTGCGTGCACGGCGTACGTACCTGGTTGAAGGATAAATGCAACGATCCGACCGGTGTCCGGCTCGTTTCCGGCTCCTCTTGGTTCAGCCGCAGATGCTCCGGCAGCGTTTCCACCCAGTTCTTCAGCGCTTTCAACAACTTCTGCACGCGCTGCAGAAACGTCTCGCTGTACTTGCGTCGACTGTACAGTTTGGCAATCGTCTCGCCGACGATCCGCGCCAGGCTGATGTTCGCCTTCAAGTATTCCGTGTCCGAGAACTGCTCATCGTGCAACGCGATCGGGGTGATCGTCGACGGCATGTCCAGGTGAATGTCATCATCCAGGATCTGGGACGGCACTCCCATCTTCGAGCCCCACATGCGATCGAAGATGTAAATTGTCCACCAGATCCGCACGCGGTGCTGCCGTTCCACCGGGTCGATCAACTGCGATTCGGGAATGTTGTGGTTCAGACCAATCGTCAACCCCAGCCGCATCGCGCTGCCGATCAGCACGTAGGCTGAATGCCTGCGGTTCAAGTAATAGGAGAACAAGGACTGTATCGTTAGCAGAGCCCCTGTAATCTGAATCGAATGCATACCAACAACAAGAGCGTCTCCAAATGGGCGATGCTCGTCCGCTCCGGCAGCACTTGCACGAGGCTGAGCGCACGAGCGAAATACTTAGTCCCTGGCACCCGCGACCCCGAGGACGGCTCATTTCGCATGGAGTATGCCTCGCCAAAGGCAAAGAGCGCGAAGAACTTGCACTGATGGACCTTGGACTCAAAGTCGCCCGTCTGGTAGATCTCCTCGAGCTTCTCCGAGGTCGATTTGCGCAGGACCAGATGGTAAATGAACCCAATCTGCCGCAGGGCGATCTTCAGCAACAGCCGGGCCTGCTGCAGACTCGGCCAGCCAATCTCCCCCGCGGTGGCCGCACTGATGCTCTCATCGTGGACGTACTGGGTGCGCGGGATGTGGGCCGTGGCGTTACTCCCCGTCAAGAAGCGCCGGAAGCGCGTCGCAAAGGCGGTGCAGGCGGCCTCCCCAATGAAGATAGGCGGCGCAGAGGGATCGTATGGATGGAACCAGGCCCGATCCCCGATTAAGGGATTGCGCACGTTGTTGGGATTCCCAGTTTCCAGGTCCGGAGCTTCTGCCGGCACTCGTGACGGGCCGCGCCCCGAGACGCCGCCCCCCTCTGGATCCGCATCGGTCGGATGGTCCGGCGCTCGGGGCTGTTCGCGCAGACGCTGATTCTCCGCTAGCAGGCGTTGCAAGAAGCTGCAATAATGCTGGCATTAGATCAAGCCCTGTGTAGACTGTAACAAACATGGGATGTGATGTGTATGGAAGTCCTCCCTACCTTTCGCTTACTTTCACCTGTCGATCGCGAGGCGTGTACTCGCATTCATCGGCACAGCCGACCTGCCGGCATTTGAGACACGGCTGGCCCCCTGAGCATTTAATCTTATGTGAATGGCAACGCTGGCATCTAGATGGGCTCATCAGCCGATCTGCTGGGATGCCAACTGCAAGGGGGGGGGGGGAGGGAGGGAGAGAACATACGCGATGAATTTCGGCCGCTTGGAGATCTCGACCTCATCGGTCGTTCTGCTGTGTTTTCTACGGTTCATCAGTCATGACGAGACAGAAGTAGTGATCCAAAGAGGTTAGAGAAACTTGAAATCGATCGACGATCGTCATGTACGTGGCTGATAGTTTTTTTGAGTGGTTCATGTCTGGTCTGGTTTGGGGGGAGTTGAAGTTGAGTTCGGCCGGCAATCGGTGAATTCTGCCGACCTTCCGGCCGATCCCCGATTAGGCAAGGCATTGGAATGTTCAACTCCCGTCGGAAATGTAGGAAAGGTACGGAGTACTTCCTAGGTACCTACTACAACATGAGTTGAGTAGTAGTAGTAGTAGTGGTACCGTACTCGGTTGTAAAAAGTAACTTGGAAGTAGCCAGTTATGTGCAGTACACTCACTCCTTCAGGAATTCTGCAAGCTTTTCCATCTACGGCCGTAGATCGGGCCTATTCGGTGATACGGCTCAGTAAAACTGTGTGATCTACAGTCGCGTTGGCTGGCTGGCTGGCTAGCTGGTGGAATGGCTGGCTGAACTTCCACCTTTTGTACTCGTACCTGCTCCGTAGCAGCTCCAAAATCTCGCCACTCTTGCAAGTATATGTACTGTACATTCTACGATGGGGGTGATTGTGGTGGTGTCCACACATAAACAGCATTTTCCCCCGCAGCCAGTGTGCAGTGTAACTGCCTATCAGATGTGGTTGTGGTGCCCAGATGTTCAATTAGCACTGGCACTGCCGTTCAAGGTTCAGAAGCTCCCATCCCTGGACGGGAAGCAATTCTCAAGATACGTACTGACTCGCTGGGATTTTTGATGCGCAAACCAAGGACGAATGGACGAATGTCATGGGCTGCCTTGCTTATTTAACCACTCCAGTCAATCGGGTCGATTATAACCCAATTGCAAGTCCAGCCAGCGGATCGTCCCAGCTGGAAACTTTCCATGCCCACTCCCAGCGCGCTCGGGTTCTCAGCCCACCCATCACAGTTGCAACCTTTGCAACCTCCATGTGGGCTGCTTGGGTGTTGTAGATCCGACCATCGGGTCAAGAGCTCCTTCTTCCTGCTTGGGTGGTGATCATCTTCTTCGAATTGTGCGGGTTCTTCTTTCCGCTACGCTAAGTAGACGGGGTTTGTATTTTGACCTGGTACTCTGTATTCCGTACTAAATAGCAGATTCGGCCGATTTTCCATCTCAATCGCCGAATTTAAGAAATGCTCGGCCAGCGGGAAATCCCTGGTTCGACCGGCGGGGGTGCTGCAACAAAATCAAGGCAGTCGCAGATGACAACCTAGAAGCAATGAACTTGGCTCAATAGGAGAGGGGATGCACAAAGTCTTTTTAGTCCTCTAAATTCCTGGTCGCAATGGTGGTTAGTCCCCTTTATTTCAATCCCTAGACGCAGAGAGGAAGAATGCCACCATCGCTTGAAATCAATTTTCCTAGGTATCCTAGGTAGTGAGGAAGGCAATCGGCCCCCAGAAGAGAAAGAGAAGGAGAGAATGAGCCGATGTCGAAGCTTCAAAGTCCCTGATGATCGTGGGTCCTGACCAATGGCGGAGGATCGGCGACGTGTTCGAGCTGGTGAGGTTAAGTTCAGGTTGAGATTGAAGATTTGCGGACCTATTGACAAGGGTTGTGTTTCTCAACCTCCAACCGACCGCCAAAGAACTCTCCTCGTCTCTCTACCTCTCTCCCTCTCTCCCTCACTCACTCACTCTTCTCCTTCGGCCTAATTCCTCCTCTTCGGCCCGGATTGAGCACCCCGTTCACTTTCCAGTCCAGTTCTCCCATCCCCTGATCCTCTCCCATTCCCTTATCTTCAACTCCCCAACTCAGGCACTCTCAATAGAAACCACGATAAGGAAACCCCAGGGAAAGCCAAGAGCAAGGTCCCGCCCGGCCGGATGTGAGTGTCACGGCCGTACTGTGGGGGCACAGTGACAATCATGGATGGAGTCTCCGCGGAATTCTTTTCCACGCCAAGTCAATCTTCCGCCAACATCAATCCCATCCATCTATGACAGGTCAAGCGCACTCCTACTGGAAAGTAGATGCAACCCTCAAAGAAGAACAGATTGAAGAAACCGCTATCGCAGACAGCAAAAGCTCCCTAACCCACGCTAACCATCTCAGCATGGGAGACGAACCAATTTCGCCCCGCGCACAACGTGGCTGTCTGACTTGACCAGGTCTGGTGATGGCCGCGCAGGGCCCGGGCTTTTCTCACATGTGTGAATTGGGCAGGACCATCTTCTCTGACTCCTCCTCCTCCTCCTCCTCCTCCACCTCTCCATCTCCTTCTGTCACTTCTTCTCTTAACCCTGTTTCTGCTTGCTCCGCACCGCTGGCTTGAATTTGATCGTTCTCGTCGAGTTCAATTCCGTCTAAGTGCGAATGCCCACCTACAGAAGATCAGGGGTGTGCGGACTGTCCCGCGTCGGCCTGAGACACTCATGAACTGAGTGCGTTTCTTCTCCAGATTGAGCGTTGGCGCAAGTGGCATATTCAGGTAAGCACTCCCATATTAGAAATCAGGAGCTGGTGCCTCGTATCTCCTCTATGGCCATGACCGCTGTTTAACATCGCTTCATTCTGCAGTTTCCACCGGTCGGGCGGGGCTGCTGGCTCACTATCGCCAGTCAGGCCATTTTTTTTAACCAGCTCCGAGCCCGTATTCAAACCCTCAACAAACAGGTTGACAGTCCATTGTGAAATATCCTCCGTGGAAAGGTGTCCAGTCACAAGATCCTTGAGCTTTCCCACGAGCCATGGTTGAAGGAGTAGGGGGCGACGACGGCACCAAGTCCGGCCAGAACTTAGTCCGCAACACCTCACAGCTCCGACTTACCATCACTTTCGGCACTCCTCCTGTCTTGATGTCTCGCAAAAACGTCGTTAGGATTCCTTGCGCAACAAATAATACCTGAGCTCACACATTTCGTGGCCGAGATGGGCCCTTCGCTGCACTTCGCAGTCATTGGTCACCCTCCAAAGTATGGTTGGTGATAAGATTGAGACACAATTGAATCGCATTGATTGAACTAGGACTTTGGCTAGGTTAATAAGATCTGTTCCGCTAAGTCCTCCCATGATTGGAAATCGACTTGGCATTGACAGAGAGTGTTGAGGAGCCTTGCGGTAGCATCACATCTCGCACCGAACAAAGATGTTATGTGACAGTCGGGGATATGTGATTGTGCATATCCCTCATTCTCACAGCACAACTGTCGCAGGCTTCAAACGAGCTCGCCACCGCCATGGTCCCACTGGCCATTGGGGCGACATAAGATATGACGAGCTCTGGGTGTCGTCCCACTGGCTCATGAGACCATCAAGAATAGTGCACATGCGCCGATAGGTCGATGTATCTCGGGGTAGCAGACATCGACAGCACGTATAATATATTCAAGACTCGCTCAGATGTTCGTTTCACGCGCACGAGGTAATGATGAGTCTAGTCTGTCACAAAGCGATAGACGGGCCAGGTGACTTGGCCTATCGGTGGCTCTCGGCTCAAAGCGACCACCAAAGCACACGGTGCTTCCGCTCTTTCAGATCTCGACATTCGGATATTGTGGGAAGTGGACAGGCTTGTCGTGGGAGTTCTGACGTGGCTGCACCGGCTCTATTTTCTGCTCAGCGTGACTGATGAAAACAAATTAGTATCCAAGCAGCGGTTTGAAACATGAGCAAGACTTGCTCAATGACAGAGGTGGATATGGAAAATAAGGAGAGGTGTATACCAGCGAGCAAACGGAGGCTCCCATCCTGCTACCTGCTCACTTGGGGCAGAACGACCGCGATAGAATGAGCATTGCTGTCCCTAAGCTATCAACACACTGTTTCATTAGGACCGCCAGGCCACGCCGTTGATTCAGTCATTTTCCACAGTCTCAACGGTCTGCGTGAATATTCTGTCCTCATAGCCACGCCGCTTATGTCTGTCGGGATGATGATTATCTCTCTCTGGTGCCCCTTGTTGGCCTGTTTGCCACGAGACACTGATGGCCAACGGGAACTCTGCTGGATATTATCCCCGCCACCAACTCGAACACCAAAAACCTCGAGGGTATAGTGCCAGAAGCCGGTGGGTACAGGTGGCGTCGAAAAAAAAAAAACATTCATCGAATCTGGTCTCCGAGATGGCCAGCCGTATCTATTGAGTACTGAGACGGTTTTGCAACGCTGTCTGCGCGAGACAGCGGGTTATCCTTTGATCTTGGCGTAACTGGAGCGAGCCCCTCTGCAGGACTAAGAGTCGGTTCACATCCGACCAGACTTTTGTTGTGCAAAGAAGGGCCTCGAATCCACATGTTGCTGAAGGTCACGAAGAGATTAGGTGCCGAGATTAAGAAGAGATCGACTTGCTTTCCCATAACAATCAGTCCGTACATCCTGACCCCAAATCGGAGACGATCGAGACGGCGGCCTCTCTGATTTGGTTTTCCCTCTTCATTTTTCCCTTTTTTTTTCCCTCTTGCATCAAAATCAAATTATCACCCCCGCTTGATTTTTATATGGGTTTTCATTTTTTTTTGTCCAAATTTTCGTCGTTTATTTCTGATTGAATTGCCTTCTGCGATCGCAGGGGGGAAATGGGGTTACCACGGTATACAACCCTTGGTTATGGTGCCAAACAATGGTGCTCGGGAGGCGCGAGCCGATTTCCGCCCAACTGTGGCAAGTCGCCCACCCGGCAGTCGTCTCCAGCCTACCACACTTCACCTTGGCTGGTTCTGGGTCTCTTTCGACCAACAAGAGACCAGTGCTTCGTACCGGACGCTGTTACACCACCAACCCCCAAAACAGCCTTGTTCCTATTGTTTGCCCCTGGCCTATAGTCCGTTTTTATACTTCAGTTTGGCCGGGTGTCATTCGCACTATTGTTACCGCCAGGTTGCTAGGTCGCTGGGTGCCTCGGACTGTGCTATTGAGGGCCGAGACGAAGGGGCCGTGGTGGGATTCCCGGCTCGTCCTTGACCATGAGTGACAACAGCCGTCCCCCTCCTTTCCCTTTCCCTTCTCAGACTCCATCTTCGTCATCGGATTTGCTGGAAAGTGATTCCCAGTTTAGTAACCTGGGCGCCTCGCTGAATCGGCAGCAAACCCATGGCCTTTCCGGCCCTTACGAGGTGGTGTATTCTGGCTTTTCTGAGAACCCATCGACTGGCTCGCAGTTCATCGAGTGCGATCGCTTCGGAAGGGTGCGTATACCCAGGTCGGCCAATTCGACTGCCTGGACCAGTAGCGGACGCGTTAGTCGAGCCTGCGAGAATTGTCGCGAACAGAAGGCCAAATGTAGCGGTCACCGCCCGACGTGTCAACGGTGCCAGGAAGCGGGCATCCGCTGCTCTTATGGTGACCGCAAACGAGAGAAGGTGGCCAAGTGAGTGTTCCAAACCTTGATGCAAAAACCTCTGGAGCGTATCTAACTTCGTATGCACCAGGCAGCTAAACGATCTGACATCCCAGGTCAAGGCATACGAGG